TATATATCTTTTTCAATAGAGCTTTTGGTGTTTAAAATTTAAATGCATTTGATGGTAATTTTTCTTGTATTTTTTGTATTGATAAGTTTATTCTTAAAATTACTGGTCCTAAAGTTGTCTAGAGTAAAATATTTGAACTCATGCACCGAGAATCCCTCAGACTATAGAAGTCGTAACTTCATTTCTTCATTGGGTATGCAAATTATGTTAAAATTTTTACTCGATACGAAAATGTAGATGATACAGTTACGTACGTTTCTTGCCGTAAACGGTATGAGGAAATTTATGCGTCTCTATTCTCATAAGTTCTAAAGTTGTTGTGCAATGTATCCTTCGATATGTTTGATTATTGTTTCTTTGCCGTATTATTGTGATTTTTGTCTCCATTTCGGCCGTTTTTGTAAACGAACGTAAATTTATTATATTGCCACGGCTGTACAGAGTAGAATAAAGTACAGCAAAGTATAGTAGAGTACATTGAAATGGTGCTCTTGTTATCATCGTCTAAGACTGATAGAATTTGAGCAGCATGTTTGTGATATTTTACCGCTCAAAGTTGTTTTAGATTTGTATTATGCAACGTTTGCTTCTTTGGCAAAGTTCATTTGAATAGTTTGTCATGCCTTCTCTTGTATATTCTGTCGTTTTCGTTTTTAATCGTTTCTTGTATTTACCTTCTGGGAACTTGCTGTATGCTCGGTACTTCCTATACATCATAGCAGTAAACGTGGCAAAGTATTCTTAGCAGTATATTTTCATATGTTTCTTTGGTTCTTATTTGCATGATTGTAAATCTTTAGGACTTCAGCCGTGGTTTGCGGAGGAAATCGGAATTATGGAGTCCCCTGATGCGGACTCATCGAAAACGGTAAGTAGTTTATCTTATGTGAAACTGATTCATTTTTGGTCTTCAGGGACCCTCTCAAAACTATGGGTTCATTTGCCGAAGTAGTTTGATAAGCAATCTACAGAGCCTTCGTTTCACAGCTAGCGGCGCCGGCTCTGCTCATTTATACTTTTGGGAGGCTATTTAAGCAGGCCAGAACTCAAGCGTTGTTATTTTTGTCACTAACAGAGTATAGCTGATATTATGATTTCCCAAAACGTAAAAACCCTGGCTTCATGCACCGTGATTTGTTTGTATGATCTCCAAACCCGGTAGCTACCTTAGAGCTAATCTTCTTCTTGATCCTGGACAATGTAGTTTTTGTCCCAGATATGGGCTGCTCAGTATACTCTTCACATTCGTAATCATGTCTATGACCATTGATTTGACTGCAGATTGCCTTGAGCAAGGAATTCTCTTCACTGTGCTTCGGTTCAACCAGTCAAGAAATAGGCAGCCAGTCGTCGATCTGCGTGCATTCACGAGACCATGGTTTTCTGCTACGGTCATGCCACAACATGCGTGACTTATGTTTTGCTGTCTAAGACACGCGTTTTACTGCTGCAGTTTACCTTGTCCATCTAATGACTGAGTGCAAATCAATACACGACATAAATCATAAAAAAATTATTGTAGACTATGTAATACAGTATGGAAAGATGTACGTTGGAAGTAAGAAGGAAAAATGATGACAAACGAATTGCTGAGAGCACAAATAGGAGTCTGCCAAGTGATTGCCAGAGTGATGAAGTTAAAGTGACAATGGGTAGGGCACTTTCTAAGAATGCCTAGCTATAGCTGGACCGCAGAGACAGATTGAATTCCTGGAAAGAGTAGGCATACCGTGCGAACACCTAAAGGTCGATGTCTAAATGAGCTGAAGAAATTGGCAGGTTCAGCGTGAATGAAAATGCTAGAAAACGGTTGTCTATGGCAAACTTTTGGAGATACTTTCATCCAGTTGTAAATCGATAAAAGCTAATAAGGTTTATGATATTGATAATTTTATATACGAGATATTGTTTAATATCCTTCACCGGACTTGCCAACGCTGTGTTACGCTGTGAACGCAGAGTTCTTGCAGTTTACTCTCTTCCAAAACGTGTTTGGCTAAGTTGTTCGACACTCCTTTCGGGGATGCTAACCCTTGTGAACTATTGCCGATGTCTCCCGAACCTTTATCCAGCCCCACGGTTTCGGGGAAGTGGAGCACTCCATAGGGTTTTGTCACGGATAAATGTTACTGATGAGTGGGGTGTAAAGCTGCGGCCTCAACCTACCGGAGCGGGCTGCTGCATCACTTCCTACTCGCTTTATCAACAAATATATGTCAATATATTCGTTCTATTATGTGCCGTTATTATACTTTATTATGTACCTCATATTTATCTGTAGATAGAGTAGATTTTGAAGTGCGTGCCTTAGGGATACGGTCTTGTGTCTAGGGTGCAGAATCACTTTTGGAGTGGTCATTTGACAAAATGACCCTTTGAAACTTGAATGTAGCAGTAATTGCTTCATTTTTTTGAAGTGGTCAGCCGAGGCGTATGACTGTCCTGGCTTTTTCAGGGGCAGACTTGAATTTGATTTGCAGAACATTTGATGGGGGCAGTTTCGAGTTTCACACTCCAAATTCAACTGTTGAGGCCATTTTTTACCCGCTGTCCAAATGTCACATAAACTTCAAAGTATGTTCCTATGCCGGAGTATGTCAGAAAATGCATAAATCGTAGGTGGTTAGCGCCGCCCTTTGCTCGTAGTTTTCTAACGAGACCGTCTATGCAGGCGACGGTCGACTGTAGCTTTGAAAATTCTTTGATGTTCATGTCACAGCATATAAGAAATTCTAGTTCCTAAAACGTCGTTCATGATGAGCGCTAGATGGCTCTTGCGAACATTATTATGCGAGATGCATCTAGCACTCCAGTTGCTCAAATACCATGAAGTAGTGCTAGTGCATCTTTGTGGAGTTACGTGTGATCTGTTGTTCCTCAGTGCTAAAGTTGTCAAATATCGCCAAAAGCATTTTGTAAAGATATATGATTGAACCTATTGAAGTTGGTGCCGTCGCAACCCAAAAGGACTTTGCTGAATGTAAACATGAATGAATGGAAATTTATATTTTTGCAGTACTTAATCTGCTTGACGATTCACTAGTTATGTAGCGACACCGAGTCGGTGAATAAGACTTAGTGGACATTAATCTGATTTACCGCTGCCAAACTGCGTGTGCATTAGCATAAAAATACTTTAATGTATTCCATAAGTTTGCATAATATTAGCGGTTGTTTAGCAGAATGAGAAACATCGGTTTTTCAGACTTTTCACTTTAAGCTTTGCCCGGAATCAAACGACCAGAACAGTACTATGCAAATGAGTTCGCAGTTGAGCATAAGGCATTAAAGACTTTCTTTTTGCAGTATTTTCTTCTTGTTTGTACGTGTTTTGGATAGAATTTCTTTTTACAAGGGTTTTTTACAATGACGTCTAGCGATACACTGGATATAAACTCTGATGGGATGGTCTAAAGCCAAACGACTATTCATATACGTTGTTTGATAATATGTGCATCAGTGACCATACTCCACCTGCTAACATATATTTTTGATGTCTCTTGCATCATCTAAATTACCAGCTCCTGAAAAATCCATTGTTCGCGATGATCACCTGGTTACTCTAGGAATATAAGGGGCGGTAGAGATGGATGTTAAGTGTAAATAAACTCTCATACATGCGCGCTTATAGGGAATTCAGTACATCAACACACCGCCAGATATTAAGCTGTGTAAACTTAGCAGTAGTACTGCAGAGATACAAGAGGCCTTAGAAGCTTCTTTGAGTGACTTTGATTTAAGCCTGAGACTGATATTTTCCTGAAAGTCATATTCATATTATCCCTTATTTTGAGGAATGACGATTTTCTAGGTTTTGATTATCTAAGCGACCAAAGGACGACGTAGGATCATCCATGAGATTGTATAAATCCTTGGTATTTCTTTCCAACGAGGCGCCATTCTTCGTTCAGTGGTAGATAACATTTAATTGGCCTTGCCAGACTTATTTTGTAAATTGATACAGATGTCCGCTTCCTCGCCATCCCAATTCTTCCGTTCTTGTTTCTGATCAGGTGTTTCTTTCCTTTTACGAACTTGCTTGTAATACATGAAAGTTTCTGCCC